CTTCTCTTTACAGAGAGCATTGACCTGCTGCAGATCACTAAAAAAAAAAAAAAAAAACCTAAAGCACTGTTACATAGTAATAAATATACCACATTTTTAGTTAAAAAAAAAAAGCATGGAAGGTTCAAACCAACCCAAACCAAACTCACTGCCGTTGAGTCAGATCCGACTCATAGTGACCTCTCCTTGGGTTTCCGAGGTGGTATCACTATGGAAGTAGATTGCCCAATATGGAATGTTAGAGTTTATCAAATTATTTGAACAAAAATGTTTGAAAACCACTGATTATGTGACTTCTACAATCCCTTACAGACCTGTTATATATAGCCTTTATTTCATTGTATCATAATTTTCTTTGTATATATCTTTTCTATTAGAGCTTCTTAGGGGTAGGTGTCATTTCCTGTCATCTTTGTGTCCCCTTAGAGTCTAGCATAGTGTCTAGTATATAGCTGACATTCAGTAAATCTCTCTGGAATGACGAAGCTCTAGTCATATCCTTTATGAATTTTATCTCTTTTCCAGTTTCATGTGTCCAGAATTTAAAAAAAAAAAAAAAAAAATTCAGTTAGATCTCATTGTTTCTTCTTCTACAGTTGATCTTTTTTTGTTAATCAAATTGATCTGTCAGTTCTGAGGTGGTTTGAAAGAGATCAGTATCAAGTCTGGCTCCAATCCTGCCTTTCATTCCCTGCGCAATCTTAAGCAGCTCAATTGCAGTTTCCCTCTCAAATGAGGGAAATAAATAAGGTATCTCCGAAATCCCTTCCAGCTCTAAAGTTCCAAATTTACATATAGATGGAGTGTTGATTTTACTAGGCTGCTGACTCTTCTAAGCACTGCTTTTCTCTCTCAATGGAGTGCTCAAAACTGCATAACCAGTTTTACTATCTATGAGTTACTAAGGTCAGACTGACCCAAAAAAAAAAAAAAGATAGTAAAAAAAAAAAAAAAATGTATGAGAGAAAATATTTGCAAATCATATATTTGATAAAAGTGTAGTATCCAGAATATATGAAGAACTCTCAGGACTCAATAATTAAAAAAAAAAAAAAAAAACTCATGGCCATCCAGTTGATTCCAACTCATAGTGACCCCCGTTGGGTTTCTGAGGCTGTAAATCTTTACAGAAGTAGATTGCCCATCTTCCTTCTGCTGAGCGGCTGGTATGTTTGAACCACCAGCCTTCTGGTTAGCAGTCAAATGCCTTATCCACTATGCCACCAGAGCCCCCAATAATTAAAAGACAACCCAATTTAAAAATGGGCAAAGAATCTGAATGGCCATTTCTCCAAATGACCAACAAGCATGTGAAAAGATGGTCAACATCAGTTAGCCATCAGGGAAATGCAAATCAAAGCCACAATGAGATGCCATTTCATACCCACTAAAACCCATCGCCAACTCATAGCGACTCCACGTTATAGAGTAGAACTGCTCCATAGAGTTTTCTTGGCTGTAAGGAAACAGATTGCCAAACCTGTGTTTTACAACACCACCGCTGGGTAAGTTCAAACACCAGCCTTTAGGTTAGTAGCACCACCCAGGGACCTTCACACCAATTAGGATGTCTATAATTAAAAAGACAGTCAATAACAAGTGTTGATAAGAATGTGGAGGAATTGAAACCTTCATACATTGCTGATGAGAATGTAAAATGGTGTAGCTGTTTTGGAAAACTGTCAGGCAGTTTGTCAAGATAAACGTACAGCTACTATATGACCCAACCATTCCACTCCTAAGTATATACCCAGGATGATTGAAAACATATATTCACACATATGTTCAGAGCAGCATTATTCATCATAGCCAAAAAGTAGAAACAACCTGAATGTCCATCAGTTAATAAATGGATAACTAAATAGTTATATTAGTGTATAAATAGTGTATCCATACAATGGAATATTAGTATAAGAAGTATACCAGTATAAGAAGAAAGGAAGTTCTAATACATGCTACAACATAAATGAACTTTGAAAACATATAAAAGATGCCAGATACAAAAGGCCATGTACTATATGATTCCATTCGTGTATCTAGAATAGCAGAGAAACAGAAAGTAGATTAGTGGTTGCCAGGGATTGGGGAGAGGGAAATGGGCATAGTTGCTCATGGTTATGAAGTTTCTTTCTGGGGTGATGGAAAAGGTTCTAGAATTAGATGGTGGTGATGGTTGTACAACCTTGTAAATAAACTAAAACCCACTTTAAAATAGTGAATTTTATGGTATATGAATTATATCTCCCTCTCTCTTTTTTTTAATGTATAAGAAAGGGCAGCTAAAGAGTGGCATACATTTGGAAGCAACATCCCAACCTCTTCAGTAAGCAGTGATGGAGGGATCTGAGGCGGGTGTAAATGTTGGGGCTCAAGAAGCAACCCAAATATAACCATGTGGGTATACCATCCATCTCTCCACTTCCCACCCGCAGCCTTTTCCCATCCCCACCAACAGCACCATGAACATAGCCATACCATTCCAGGGTGGACATACATCTCTTTGCCCTTAATGCCAAGTAGTACTGGTTGCTCACTTCTTTTACACACTGCCCAAGTTTGTGTAGTGATTCCTAATAATACTATCGAATCAAAAATGGAAAGATCATTACGTGAAAAGATCTAGAATAGCCAAATTAATAGAGTCCAGAGATTATTAGTGGTTACCAGAAGGGTGAGGGAGGGAGAAAGCATTGTTTAGAAAGCTTTGAGTTTCTGTTTATGGTAATGGAAGATTTGGCAACAGTTGCACAATTAATGTAATTAAATCATTAAATTATATATGTGAAAATTACTGAATTAGCAGTTGTTATGCTGTATATATCTTTACAACAAAAAAAAAAATAGGGAGTAGTAGCTCTGGCACTGCCACATCCTACAAATCTCTGACAAATTCTCCTTTCTGAATAGTTGCTTTCACTGTGCTCTAAAATCCATGGTGGCTCCCTCATATTACTTACCACATTGATTTTAACTCCCCTCCCTAGCTTTCAAAGACCTTCGTAAACTAATCCTACCTTTCTTATCTAAAATTACATCACATGACAGTCATTTGCTTGTTAATACTGTAGAATCTAACCTTACAGCCCTACCCTGACTGACTTCACAAGTAAGACTAAGTTTCTACTAAGATGTCAGATGTTTATTGAGAGCTTTTGCAAGTCTCTTAGTCCTCACAGCATCTACCACCTATAGGTCTTCTTATCACTGATCTCAGGAAACCAGGCAGATGTTCTTGACTGACACTGCAACATTTACAAAGGCAGTATTCTTTGCCTTTTTAAATAGGAAACAGTAGCATAGTGGCTAAGGCACTTGACTGCTAACCAGAAGGCTGGCGGTTCAAACCCGCCAGCCACTCCTCGGAAGGAAGGTTGGGCAATCCTACTTCCGTAGTGATACTGCCTCAGAAACCCAAGGAGGGGTCACTATGAGTCAGGGCCGACTCGACGGCACATAACAACAACAACAACAACAAAGTTGTAGGAGGAATTTGTTGGGAGGTACCTCTGGTAGCATAGTGGCTAAGACACTTGCCTGCTAACCAGACAGCTGGCGGTTCAAACCCACCAGCCACTCCTCGGAAGGAAGGTTGGGCAATCCTAGTTCCGTAGTGATACTGCCTCGGAAACCCAAGGAGGGGTCACTATGAGTCGGGGCCGACTCGACGGCACATAACAACAACAACAACAACCCTAACATTAGCATATTATGTATTTCTCTCTCCAGAGTCCTTAAAAGGACACTTATTGGGATGTAATGGGCATTCAGCATGCGTTTGTTCAACTGAGGCAAATTCCATTGTCAAACAGCAGCTTTTGTATATTCACTACATATCTGCTTAATTCTATTGCACTAAAATATTCTGATATATTTCTGACAGGAACTGAAGTTCAAAAATCAATTATTTCTTACATATACATCTCTCAAAAGTCAAACAGTTTGTTATACATTAACTTTACAATTTTAAAAATGGTTAAAATAATCAACTATTAGTGAGCCTTTTGGTACTATTTCAGGATTAAACTTTCTTAAATTAAATTCTTACTGAAAGACCTAAATTTTTTCTAGCGTATGTTTAAAGAGAATTTTTTTATTATTATTTTAAAACCACTGACCTATTGTTATGAATTGCCTTTTTAGATGTATTTTTTTGTCTTTACAGACTATTAGACCCAAAAAGGATGCTGCCAACCATGTTGCTTTTTTGCCTGTCAAAACTACAAGGCCCAGCAGCCTTCAATGCAAACCTAGACCTGCCAATATTCCAGGGGGCCAGAAACCAAAGTTGGATCCACCAAAACTTCTGAACAAAAAGCTAACTTCAGGATGTGTTTCTTCTAAACTAAACTATAAGCCTTCCAGCAGTGGTCAACGGCCACTCAAAACTGGATCATCCACTACAGGAAAGCTGTCAGGAAAACCTGTAGGGTCACTTCCCAGACAGGAATTGAAAACTACAAAGCAGCAGGTGACAGATGAAAGAAAGACTAAATGTACGGACTCTGTGGACAACACCCATGTTGAAAATGAATACTTGGATTGCTTTCTAAAGCAGATAAACAAAGAGAACTTGTCCCAAAACTTATCAGATTTGGAGAGGAAGGCAGATCTTGAATTTTGTACTATAAATAAGCCGAAAACACACTCTCAGAATCCATCCAAGAGCAACTTGGCTCCTAAACAAGCCCTGGGCAAAAGCCTAATCAATAGTGCTGTTCTGAAAGACAGAGGCAATAAACAATTTATTGGAAAAACACAAATCAAGATTCTACCAGTAAAATCACAGCAACTCTCTAGAGGAGCAGATCTTACAAGACCAAAAGAAAAACCCTCAAGGACAGTTCCTTGCCACATTGTTAAGACCCTTAGTAGGACTCCAGCATCAGCAAAACCAGTGGCTAAGGATCAGGATATAAAGGCTATCAGGGCTGAACATGAGAAACCAAATGAAACTAAGTTACAGTCGCACCCTGCTAATGAACAAAAAGCAAAACATACCAAACCCTATACCTACACCAGTTTGCTGCTGGGAGGAATAAACAGACATCCGAACATTAAGCACGACCAGAAGTCTCTTCAGTCTTGTATTAGACCCCATACATCATGTGTACTACAAAAGTCAAAAGCCATAAGCCAGAGGCCCAGTTTGACAGTTGGCAGATCTAATTCAGTAATTCCAAGCACCCCTAGCATAAGAGCAAATGGGATCAATGGGAATAAATGCAACAATGACTTTCAACAAAAAGCACGAACTGTGGACTCCAATTTGAAAAAGCCTCTTTCCCAAAACCATTTTCTCAGTAAGACAGCTCCCAAAACTCAGGCTGGTGACACAACTTTGAATCAAAGACGCGTCCCAAATGAGATCCCAACTAACCCAAATATTAAAAAGAAAGCAGCAGAGGATCGAAGGTACTTTGCTTTAATTTTAAAATTATTGTGCTACTTAAAATGACTAGACAAATGATCACCAAGAATACTTTATGAGGAAATAGTCCATAAGTAATAACTCCTAAGTCATTTTTAGCTTTAGCCCTTAATAAGGAAAAAAAAATTGAAGTAAATATAACAAAGTATTAAGATATGATGGAGTTTAGTAGTATATATATGTGTCATAAATCATTCTCTGTAATTTTCCATGTAGTTGGAATAGTTTATTTTAAAAAAAAAATTGAAACAGAATGGATGAGTCTAAAATAGGCATTGTAAATGTGAACTCCTCATTCAAGAAGTACTATGCAGGGACTGAACAATAGGACAAAGCAGGTTAGGAGGAGTCAGGATAGAGTCCACAGAGCTAGGAAGTGGGGAGATAGTGGCTGCTCGTCAAGCAGACAGTGGCAAAGTCCAGAAATATTATCAGGGAAGAAAGAACTGGAAGCTTCCATTGAGTCTGAGTGGGCTGAGTTTGGGGAAGTAAACTAAGGCAAAGAAGAGCAATCATTTTAGAACCAGAGTTTGGAAGGGTCGGGTAATAGAAATCAGGATCTCAGTTTTCTGGAGATTAATATTAACACATGATCCTTGAAGCTGAACTAAAAGATCATGTACCATTTCTTCATAGGACCACACCTAGTCTTACAATGGTAGAACTCTCAGTGGAAGTACCTATATACACCTGGTTGGAGAGAAATAAGATTTATAGTAGCTTAAATGTAGCAAAGGTGCTCTGGTGGTGTAGTGCCTAAGGCATTTGACTGCTAACCAGAAAGCTAGCAGTTCAAACCGACCAGCCACTCCTCAGAAGGAAGATTAGGCAATCTACTTCCACAGTGATACTGTCTCAGAAACCGAAGGAGGGATTGCTATGAGTCGGTACAAACCCACCAACCACTCCTTGGAAGGAAGATTAGGCAATCTGCTTCCATAGTGATACTGCCTCAGAAACCCAAGGAGGGGTCACTATGAGTCAGTTCAAACCCACCAGCCACTCCTCAGAAGGAAGGTTTGGCAATCTACTTCTGTAGTGTTACTGCCTCAGAAACCCAAGGAGGGGTCGCTATGAGTCAGAACAGACTCGATGGCAGTGAGTTTGGTGTTTTTAAATGTAGCAAGGTGAAGTGAGAGCAAGATTATTTTCTAGATACAGCCCTAATCAACAAGCTCTCTGCCCTTGAAGAAACTGAAAATAAACCATTCAGGGTGATGTGATAGAGAGGGCTGGGATGGCTTCTTTCAATAGAAGGATCATGAGATATTCTCTGAAGTAGGAACAGTGACATCTGACCTGAGATCTAATGTTGAGAAGGCTAGTGACAAGAAGAAGAATGAAGCTTCTGCATACAAAATGGAGTGCTAAGACCCTGAGCTTGGCAATAAGGAAGTCAAGGTCTCTACCCTCAAGCTCACAGTCTAGAGTAGACAAAAGTCAATCATAAGACACTGTGTTGAGTGTAAACATGTCTGATTATGAAAGAGAAGGAACTTTGGAGAAAGATTAATTCATTCACTCTTTGAATGTTCCTTCACCAACAATGTACCAGGTGCTGGTGGATGCAGTGGTGAGCACACAGTCACAGCCCGTACCCATATGGAGCTTATCATCTGGTATGTCAAGTTCTAGAAAAATAAAAGTAAACCAGTGAAGTACTAGTAATAATTTGGCTTTACAGTAGGAAACCTCCCTTTTCATTTGTGATTAGAAGGAAGGCTAAGGAGCTAGAAAGAGGACCTGGAACATAAAGGAAACATGCCTGTTAGAGTGAAGGTGAGTGGAAAGCAGTTGGGGCTGAAATAAGTACTGTATGGATTGTGCTTTGGAGTCAAGAAGAGAGAAACAAGGGGGTTAATAGAGCATTCATTCACTGAAAAATAGTTATTGACTTTTTTATGTTATAAAAGCAAAACTGTAAGTACAGGAAACAGATGAGTGGTTGTCAGGATCTGGAAGTTGAGGCTGGGTTGACTAACAAGAAGTGTGAGAGAATTTTTGATGGTGTTGGAACTGTTTTATATCTTGTTTGTAGTAGTGGTTACTTCATATGTTTGTCTAAACTAACAGAACCGCACAGGATGAATTTCACTACATGGATATTAAATACCTGTGTGTGTCAGATACTGTGCTAGGCACTGGCATCCAGTGGTAGATAGGACAAGATCTGCCTTCAAAGAGCTTGCATTCTAGAGGAGAAGACAGAAAACAACATGGGATTAAGTAAAACAGGTTTATTGTTTGTTGTTGCCACTGAGTCAGTTTCAACTCATTGCAAACCTTTGTACATCATTGTGCTGTACTCACAATCATTGCTATGTTTGAGGCCATTGTTGAAACCACTGTATCAATCCATATCATTGAGGGTCCTCCTCTTTTTCCCTGACTCTTTACCTTAGCAAGCATGATATCCTTCTCCAGAAACTGGTCCTTCCTGATAACATGTCCAAAGTATGTGAGACAAAGTCTCACCATTCTTACTTCTAAGGAGCATTCTGGCTGTACTTCTTCCGAGACAGATGGGTTCATTCTTCTGGCAGTCCATGGTACAGTCAATATTCTTCACCAACACCATAATTAAAAGGCTTCAGTTCTTTTTCAGTTTTCCTTATTCATTGATCAGTTTTTGAATGCATATGAGACGATTGGAAATACCATGGCTTGAGTCAGCCACACCTTAGTCCTCAAAATGATATCTTTGCTTTTGAACACTTTAAAGAGGTTCTTTTGCAGCAGATTTGTCCAATGCAATGTGTTGTTTGATTTCTTGACTGCTGTTTAAATGGGTGAGTGAGAAGGATAAACTCCCAGAGCTTTGTCCCAGGGTCCTAGGGTTTTAAAATATGTTTCTTAAATATAGTGTAGGGATGTTAACTATTTTGTATATCTAGATAGAAAGTTAGGAGCTCTGGTAGTATAGTGCCTAAGGCATTTGACTGCTAACCAGAAGGCTGGTGGGTTTGCCACTCCTTGGAAGGAAGGTAGGCAATCTTCTTCTGTAGTGATATCACCTCAGAAACCCAAGGACGTGTGGCTATGAGTCAGGGCCGACTCGACGGCACATAACAACAACAGATAGAAAGTTAGCTACTCTTTTTGAAATAGAAGAATAACACTAATAATAGCGGTATACACTGAAATAGTGGCTCTTGTATGCCAGGCACTGTTGTAACTACTTTACCTATATTAGCAAATTAGTTGGTTGTGGATCAAGTAAAATGAAATCTTTGACAACTTCAATCTTTTCTCTGTTTATGTAGCTTATTGGTCCAGTTGTGAGGGTTTTTGTTTTCTTTATGTTGAGATATAATCCATACCGAAGTCTTTGATCTTCAGTGAGTGCTTCAAGTCCTCTTCATTTTCAGCAACCAAGGTTGTGTCATCTGCATATTGCAAGTTGTTAGTGAGTCTTCCTCCAATCCTGATTCAGCTTTTCGGATTATTTGCTCAGATTGAATGGGTGAAAGGATACAACCCTGATGCACACCTTTCCTGATTTTCAACCACAGTGTATTCCCTTGTTCTGTTCAACCAACTGCCTTTTGGTCTATGTATAGGTTCTACATGAGCATAATTAACTGTTCTGGAATTCCCATTCTTCTAAATGTTATCCATAATTTTTTATGATCCACACAGTTGAATGCCTTTGCATAATCAATGAAACACAGGTAAACATCCTTCTGGTATTCTCTGCTTTCAGCCAAGAGAGACTGAAAATGCAAGGCCCTGAGGCAGGAATGAACTTGGGTCTAGAAACTGAAAAGATGCCAGAGTTTCCAAGGAGTAGTGAGAGTGGTATGACATGAGGTTAGAGAAGGTGAGCAGGAGACAAATTACACTGGGTCCTTCTACCATGGAAACACTTCAGTTTTATACTAGAAGTGATAGGAAGGTCCTAACAGTGACATGATCTGGTTTACATTTTAAAGATCACTCTAACTATTGTGCGAAGGATGAATTTGATAAAGGTTAGAGTAGAAGCAAGCAGATGAGTTAGAAGGCTGTACAGCATTTCAGATAGAAGATGACATGACTTGGTCTAGAATCCTAGTAGGGGACATACAAGTAATACTGACTATAATGATATGTCAGATGTAAGGGATAGGGAAACTAGACAACTAATAGTTTTGGGCCCTAGCAACTGAGTGGTTTGGGGTTTACCAAGTTAGGAAAGTATTTGGGAACAAGTTTAGAGTTTTTGTTTGTTTGTTTGTTTGTTGTACAGTATTAAATTTGAGATATGTGACAGATATCAAACTGAAGTATCAACTAGGCACTGGATTTTATGAAGCTTTGGGCTCCAGGGAGAGATCCAGGCTGAAGGTGTATATTTGTGAGTCATAGGTAGTTGTTACTTAAAGAAGCTAGGAAGCCTACATCTACAGACTCTTGGACCTACATGATGGCCACTTAGAAGTAGGAGTATAGAATGTGAACAGTAGAGGAAATCTAGGATTAAGATTTGGAGGCAGTAGAGACCAACTACTTAAGAAAATGCCACCAAAAAAAAAAAAAAAAAGCACAACCACTACCGTGGAGTCAGATCCGACTCATAGCAACCCCTCCTTGAGTTTCCAAGGTGGTATCACTACGGAAGTAGATTGCCCAACCTTCCTCCTGAGGAGTGACTGGTGGGTTTGAACTGCCAGCCTTCTGGATAGAAGTCAAATGCCTTAGACACAATGCCATAGGAAAAGAGCCTTAAAAATATTGATTTACAAACTATGGTACATACACACAATGGAATACTATGCAATGCTAAAGAATAATGTAGAATCTGCAAAAGACCGCATAACATGGATGAACTTGGAGGACATTATGCTGAGTGAAATAAGTCAATCACAAAAGGACAAATATTGTGTTAGTCCATTATTGTAAAAGTTAAGGAATGGTTTATCTATTGAAGGAATTTTTCTTTGTTGGTTACCAGGGGTTGGAGGGGAGGGGAGGGAACACTGTTAGATAAATAGAGATAAGTATTGATTTGGGTGAAGAGAAGGGCAATGTACCAAATGTGAGTGACCAATATGGCAGCATTGAGGATGAGAAAGACACAGAGAGGTACATGGGAGGTACAGACAATAAATATGAACCCCTCTGCACATACAGTACTGCATTGTCAGTAAAGGCAAACATGGGTATATGGGTGGATAGATGGGTAGACAGGCTGAACTATTAGGTATGTCTATGAAATGGGGAGTGTATCCAAGAACATGTATAGGGTTGGCAGACAATGGTCCTATAAGATTATGTGAATGATCGGAATTCCCAGGTGTATAGTAGAACTGACAAGGGGCAAGGTTGTGGTCACTGTTTGGTCACAGCCAGCTACCGAGAGGGACCGAGTAGTTGAACCTGTGGGCTTGGGACCATAGTCACAGGGGACATCAAGCTCAATTGGCATAACATACTATACAAAATATTATTCCACCTCCTACTTTGGCGAGTAGCGACTGGGATCTTAAAAGCTAGCAAGCTACCATCTAGATGCAACAATGGGTCTTTCCTCGTCCAGAGAAGAATGAAGAAAACCAAAATTCATGGAAACAATTAGTCCTAGCGATTGGTACACCATCCGATCTGCAGCCTTTACGACTATGAGACCAGAAGAACTAGATGGTACCCAGCTACCACTGTCATCCACTTGGAAGGGGATCTATGTAGGAGATCCTTGATAGAGAGGGAGAACAATGTGGTACAAAACTCAAAATCATTTGGAGGAAACAAAAAGGGAGGGGAACCAGGTTTCCTGGTCCGATAGAGCCTGGTAGAACCACTGAGACTATGGCCCCTAGCTGCCCTTCAGGTCTGGAATTGAACCCACACCTGTGGTTTCCAGCCAAACAAAAGAGAGGCATATGAGTTGAACATTTACCTCAAGTAGATACTCTCCTTGGAGAGAAAAATCATGGGAGAAAGAAGTGCTGCTTATGCATAGGGAGACACAGCTCAGGGGGCAAGAGTCCATGAATGGACACAGGGAAGGGGTAACTATGGGGAGGAAGTGGGAGGGGAGCTGTTGCATTGTAGTAAACTGTGGTCAATGACATGAGACAAAGTATATATGAACTGCTGTATGGAAAGTGAATTTGCTCTGTAAATCTTCACCCAAATCACAATGAAATAAATAAAAAGAGAAAGAAAAAATATATGTATTTATTTACTTAAGAAAGAGAGAGTCATGTGTGGTCCAGAGAGAGAGTTAAAGAACTGGGTAAAGACCAAGACCGTTTTGAAGGCAGAATGCAGATTCAATGGGCCTGGGTGAATGACAGGTAACAGACTTTTGGTGGGAGAGATGGGGCCAAGTGATTTCAGATGGAGGAGGACATCTTAGGAAAGTGTCAGAGGTAGCAGGCAGGAGAGATGAAAATCTCCAGAGAAAAATAATGAAGTATAATCACAAAGTTAAAGAATTTGAAGACTGAGATACTGACCACCTGCAATCCTCATGATCCCTGTGGCATCTGCTTCGGGAGTCGGGTGGGGGGGAGGCAACCCAGTGCTGCCATGACCCACTTGTAAATTGTTTTTCAATTCTATTTTTCTGACTTTGCCTATAGTTGAAGGTCTTTAATTATACTCAGTCATATGCCTCAGAAGCTTGACTCTGAAAACTAACCCCCGACTCCACCTCTTTAATTGCATTACAGGAAACAACTGGAAGAATGGCAGAAGTCTAAGGGAAAAATCTATAAACGGCCTCCTATGGAACTTAATACAAAAAAAAAAGTAATAGAGAAAATGAATGTTTCATTCTGGAAGAGCATTGAAAAAGAAGAAGAAGAAAAGAAAGCCCAACTTGAACTATCTGATAAAATTAACAATACTCTGACAGAATGTTTGCAGCTCATTGAAGGGGTGAGTGAGAAAAAGCTCCCAGAGCTTTTCCCCAGAGTCCTGGAGTTTTAAAATGTGTTTCTTAAATATAGAGTAGGGATGTTAACTATTCCATATGTCTAGGTAGACATTTAGCTGCTCTTTTTGATATAAACCAAAACCAAACCAAACACTGCCATCAAGTTAATTCAAACTCATTGGATTTCCAAGGTGGGAAATCTTTACGGAAGTAGATTGCCCTATGTTCCTTATGCAGGGTGGCTGGTGGGTTTGAACCACCAACCTTCTAGTTAGCAGTCAAATGCCTTAGGTACTGAGCCACCAGAGCTCCTTTCTTTTTGATATAGAAAAGGAATAACACTAATAGTAGTGCTGTACACTTAAATAGTGGCTCTTGTATGCCAGGTACTATTGTATGCACTTTACTATTGTATTACCTCTTAACTATCACCGTTACTGTTCCCACTTTATAAATGACATGGAAGCACAGAGAAATTAGGAAACTGACCCAAGCTGTCTGGCTCTAGATCCAAAGATCCAAAAGGAACTTTGCTTTCTCTGTATATCAAGGTCCAAAGAGTCAATATTTAATATTTGGTATTTGGTTATGAAACTAAAGTCAAAAGCAAGGTTATGTGTGGATGTGGATTGTTCTTAATACTATGTTGTTGTTTTTTGTTGTTGTTATGTGCCATCAAGTTGGACCCAAATCATAGCGACCCCCCCTTGGGTTGCCAAGGCAGTATCACTATGGAAGTAGATTGCCCAGCCTTCCTTCCGAGGAGTGGTTGGTGGGTTTGAACCTCCAGCCTTCTGGTTAGCAGTCAAGTGCCTCAGGCACTATGCTACCAGAGCTCCTTCTTAATGCTATATAGGTAGCTATAAATGGTGTCTAAATTATATTTGTATTGTGCAGATAAGAATAAAGTAGATGATAGGCAAAGGGTATGATCCTTAGGAGGCTCCCTGAAGAAAAGATAATTTAAAATGAGGGAACAGACAACTGTACTAAGGTCCTTGCCTGAAACAAGCCCCGTTCTGTCATTTGGCTAGTAATGTTGGAAAAGACCATCAGGATATAGGAAAACTTCAGTTTAGGTTGGCTCCAGGCAGTTATTTTGCCACAGAGTTCAGTTAAACATTACCTATTTCTCCTTTGTGGAATTAAACTTCAGTTCTTTTTCTGCTTTCATTCCTTTCCCATTGAAAGCTTTTATTGTTTGTTCTTTTTAAAAATTTAAAAAGTGAATATATTTGTACTATTAAAAACATTTCAACAATGCCGATAAATGACCAGCATCCCTCCTTCCCCCATGTCCCACACATGCACACTTATGTATCCCCTGCTTCTCCCTACAGGTGACCACTACTGCCATGTATCCTTCCAGACGGTTTTTATGCATGTATATACAGTATAGAGAAATGATGTATATACCATATGTTTATGCAAATAATATATGCAGGTTCTACATTTGTTGCCCACCTACCCTCCTTGCCCATGAGGTATTTTCATAAATGCACTATGCCGATTGTCTTTTACATGTTGCTATAAAACAGTTAGCATAGCCCACTTAGGAAAATACCTTGTGGGTGGGAGGGTGGGTTGGCAAACAAACGTAGAACCCACACTTTATTTGCATTAAAATACAGTACTTTTGTGAGTTGTAATCATTTTGTCCCAGATTTTCACTTCTGTCCTTAGATTGTCTTTTTTTTTAATGCATTTTATTGAAATATAATTTATGTACAGTGAAATACACAAAACAAAGTCATATGGGTCAATGCATTATATTTTGCAGTGTTCCCTCCCCTCCCCACCCACCCCTAGCAACCAACAAAGAAAGTTTCCCTCCATATATAAACCTTTCCTTCACCCTCCACAGCAACGAACTAATAGTATATTTGTCCTTCTGTGATTGACTTATTTCACTCAGCATAATGTCCTCCAAGTTCATCCATATTATGCAGTGTTTTGCAGACTCTACCTTATTCTTTAATGCTGCATAGCATTCCATTATGTGTATGTACCATAGTTTGGTCATCCA